TACACCCTGATTATCCGGTCAGCTGTGTTTATTAAAAAGCAGCTGTAGGAAGGAGGGCACAGAACATGCATTGCATTAGAAGACTAAAAAAATAAAAAGAATTAGAGTATGTTCCATGAAAGAAGGGGGGGGGGCGGTTAAGACCTTGTATGCTCTGTCAATCTACCCTATAGCTTTCAATTCATCTTTAAAGATACCACCTGATAGAGGAAGTAACTCACCTTCCTTTCCGAGCAAATTCAATCGATTTAATAGCTGTGGTGTTGCTGGTTCCAGTCGTCACTCTGAAGGAAGCAACAAGATCCTGAGTGTCTGTTTTTAAGACCAAGATCTGAAGATGAAGGAGACAGAAGGCAATCAGTGTCTTCACAACAACTCACTCCCCTTTCGGTACCTTTCACATCAGCTACTAACCCTGACAACAGAAGCCTCAGCAATCTACACAGGAATAGTTGGGATTCTGCAACTGCAGTTTCTACTACAGTTTCTGCGACAGTTCTGCGACATAAACATTGGTTTATTTACGCTGGAAAAGGATCCAACAAACACGGTCAAAGACAACAGCAACACAGAGACCTAACTCAGACAAAGTATTATAGTCTAGAGATCTTCAAAGACAAAGTGTGATACTTTATTCAGAAGATCGTATCAGCGCAATATCAATTATTCAAGAGACATTCCAGAAGCCTTATTTATGTATTAAAACAAAGAACGCAACCCAGAAACGTTAAGCGTCTTGATAAAAGACAGGAAGCGATCTAAGCTACTGCACCCAGTGCCGCCTGCTGCAGTCTCACCTTCCCCTTGGCATTGCCCGTATAAATGTATTCCCCTCGCCTGTCAAAGGAGGCCACGACATTGAGGTCAGAGTCATCATCCACAGGCAGGACAACATGTTTGGAGTCTGACAGCGTTAGCATCACCGGCGCCGACTTCATGGGACAAACCAAAACTCTGTTTCTGCAAAGCAGAACAAGAAGAGTTAACGGTTTCTTCTCTGGAAAAGAGGTTTCCACATTTAGAAGTAGAAAAAAATCTCAACCCGTATCAAGAAATATAGCATACCCCTGTATTTTCATCATCTTCTTTCATCTTTGTTACTTTAAAAATCACAAAATCACGTTAAGCCGGTGTCTACTTTCACTTCCTTTCTTTTTCTGGAAGCCTCTCCAAGTTTACACAGTAACTTGTAAACTCAAAGAGACAGTCCTATACACATTTCTAAGAATTATTCCCTTGTTTACTCTCCTCCCTTCCTGACATCTTCATAATAAAAAGAGCCACTACAAATCCAGTTCGGGTTCTGATCACAAAAAGACGACACGCTGACGGCGTCTACTGCGTTCGGAAAAAATCACTTTGCAAACCGCAATAAGAGCATTTTAACAATCGTTAGTTCTACCAAAGCCAGAGCAGTTCCACCAAAACGAGAGCGTTCGACCCTTTTTACGCAGGACTTACTGGTCTCGAGGGTGGTACTGAACTTTCAAGATAGGCGAAGGAAATCGAAATCTCTGGTCGCAGTCTCCAGAGAGCACATCCCACTGCGACACGATGTTATCGGTCGAGGCACTCACCAGTTTGTGACCGTCTCGACTCCAGCTACAGTAACGAGAGGCAGTTCAAGGGAAAGTTACTCCTTAAATGCATAAAACATACACCCAGGGTTTAAAATTATCGGGCCGACTTATCGGGCTCAGATATAAATCTGTTAGCCTGAAAAATAGACTAACACCCAAAAACTTAACAGGCGTAGCGCATTTCCAAACTCTCTTAAAGGAAACTACCCTAAAAACGTGACCACGTATCCCGCAACGGGCTGGCATTTCAGCAGCCAACAGGCCCAGGTGTTGAGAGCTGCCAGGGCGTCGGAGCGCCCGACACTCAGCAAACGCAGGCAAATCCTAACAAAAATGAGAACAGCCGT